GGGCTCTCTTACAGGTCTCTCTGCCTACTGCTTCCTGCTTGCCTCTCCTTCCAGGCTGACCTCCTGTGTGCTGTCTGGTGCTTCCCTGAGCTACTGGGGCCCAAGACCCCATTTCTCAGGACCCGCCCTGCATAATGTCAGTGGGACTTGCACCCTCAGACCTCAGCCCAGGGTGAAAGTCTCCTTCAGACCCTCTGCAACGTCCATTTCCTTCCCACACGCACCAGCCATCATAAGGATCTGGGCTGATGCTCTGGGGCCTTCTACCCAACGTGAGCAAGAAAATGCATCTAATAATAGTGACCTCATTTGGGGGCAGGGGGCTCCCTACAGCACGGGGGTGGCCTGGGTCCTGACGAGGGGAGTCCCGTTTTCACGCACGGACACCGGCTCATTGCACAGAGCCTCAGCCTGTGTCCACGCCCAGCGGCTCTCTGGGGGCAGCCAGGAGGCAGAGTCCGTCCCCAAGGCCTGTCCCTCACTGGCAGCGCTGCTGGCCGTGGCTGGTCCAGACGCGGGGGCCTCCCCCCGTCATGAGGAGGAGCCCAAACCCACTGGTTGTGGTTTCTCGCGGACACAACGGCAGGGAGAAGACCCTCGGTCCTGGCACCACCCCTACCCCAGGGCATGGGTTCAGGGTCAAGGGACTCCATGTGCACTCCAGAGAGGCCGTGGGGGCCGCAGAGAGGGCGGTGCCTTTGGGCCAAGACTTACCCTCTCTGTGTGAAGAACGAATTCGGGGAGGCTGACCTTGCCTGAAACTGAAGGAGGGGCTCCTCTGGCCCCAAGAAACATTTCTGCCCCAAAGTGCAGTGTCGCACTGTCCGCATCCCATGGTAAGACGGGCAGTGGGCTGACGCTTATACAGAGGATGGTCCTGGGAGAGCCAGAAGCCGCTGGCCAGCGGGCGCTCACTGGGGGCAAGCCCAGGGTTCGGCGTCCACACCTGCCCCAGCCCCAGGCTGGGCCGCTTCCGAGGGGCACGGGGAGGGCAGGAGCCTGGGCCCCGGCGCCCACACTGCCCCAACCCCGGGACGACGGCCGTGTCTGTTGGCAGCCCCCCCTGCCCCAGCCTTGGGACGGCGCCAGGCGGGCAAATGGGGCTGGTGCAGCCGGAACAGCTGTGCTGGGGGAGGCGAGAGCGGGGCCGGCCTGCCGCCTGCCTCCTAAGCGGGAACCTTCTGCGTGTTTTGACTCATTCCACCAAATGGTGTCACAGAAGCTTGAGGGGACCTGGGGCAGGCTCCTGCTGAGTCAGAACAGCCCCCGGGGGGTTTTCTGAAGGGGTGGCTCCCGAGGCGGTGCAGGCCATCTCCCCTTCGACAGCAGGGAAACCCCAGGCTCAGAGAGGCCAGGGACGGGCCCGGGGCTCCCCTCCGGCCCAATGGGCTGGGCAGGGCCCATGGAGCACCTGGTGGCAGGTGCAGAGTCTGGCTTGCATCCATCTGGGGGCTGCCCTGCATTCCTGGGGCTGCTGCACCCTTGTCTCCTGTGAGCCCTCAGGCCGGACCCCACATCACACGCTCTGGTCGGCGTGACAATTTCCATAGTGACATATTTTAAAGAGACAGGTGGAGAAGGGCAGTGGGTAGAAAGACAAGGGTCCAGCCTCCAGAAGGCCCCCGGGCCCCACCCTCACCGGCAGGCTGCTCCTCGGGGTGAGGAGGGAGGAGGGAGGACTCCCTCCCCCTGCTGTGAAATGGGAATGATTGCGCCCGGCCGGCAGGCACCCTGAGCCTCCGCTTCGACCAGCACGGCAGCCGCTCAAGGCCCCGACCGGCCGGGTGTGAGCGTCAGCTGGGCTCTGGGTTATTCGGGCTCACACAAATTCCCCTTCCGACGCAGAGCTGGACAGACCTCTCCCTCCGAGGGCCGTGCGGGCGGCTGCTCTCTGAACATCAGTCTGCCCACGGCCGTGCTGGTTTCAGGGACAAGCAAGCCCCCCCACCGCGTCCTCCGGCTGCACTGCGGGCAAGGGGCCAAGCCCTGGGAAACATTCCGAGCAAGGATTTGCCGTGTGTCAAGGCCGGCGGCCTGTGGTCGGCCAAAGAGCTTTATTTAGGAAGGACCGGCGGGACTGGTCCGGGGGGGCCCCACGGAGAGGTTGGTTAAGCCGAAGGGTCCCTGTTGGGCCCACAAGCCACGTGGGCCTGGAGGCCTGCGGGCCGGAAGGTGCAGCTCCGTGTCGGGATCTTCCTCAGGAACAAAATGACCTCTGCGGCGTGGTCCCGAGGGTGGGGACTCAGGCAGAACCCCACGGGGCCACAGGACCTCCCGTACATGCTCCAGCACAGAGCCGGGCTCACGGGACACAGGCTGTTTTCACGCCTCAGTATTAAAGCCGCCTCTGACCGGCCAAAGCCTTCCGTGCCCACAGGGCAACTCCCTCACTAGGCTCTGTCCCCTCCTGTCCCCATCCTGTGCACAGCTCCACCCACGAGTCCCCCTGGCTGGTCCTCACATGTGCTGGGCATGCTCCTGCCTCAGGGCCTTTGTGCTGGCTGAGCCCTATGTCAGTCCCCATGCTGGCCTCCACCAAACGCCCCTCCACCAGAGAAGCCTGACCTGGCCCAGACAGCAACCTCCGCCCAGCCTGAGGCCCTCCCTGGAGCCCCTGGAGGAGAAAACATCCCTGTCTCTTTCATTTATTGTCTGTCTCCCTCCAGAGAGTAGCAGCCCACGCGGGGAGCAGTCTGTCTGCTTGACTCTGGACCAGTGCCCAGCACACAGTAGGTGCTCAATTGTGACTTGTCAAAGCAACGAGCAAGCACCACCTAACCCTGGTGTTCTAACTGATGATGCGTCCCAGCTCCGTGCCACATGGCTCCAGGCCACCCGGGAGCAGCGACGCCCGCCGGGGTCAGTTTCCTGGGTGCGTGTGAGTCGGGGGGCCCCCTGGAGCCCGCATGCCAACCCCGTCATGGGAGGTCAGGGCAGGAAGGAGGGACTGGATTTCTGCGGCACACGAGAGCTCCCTGTCTTCTGATCTGGAGAAATGGGGAGGAGTTAACCGTGCACCCTGGCCAGGACCTGGGGGTTCAGATTCCGCCCTGTGTCCAGACTGGCTGGGGGAGCGGAAGGTCCACCGGTCCTTCTGCAGGGGCCTCCCCGAGAAATGGCATAGGAGGGAGTTTGGCTGAAGACACACGCCCCAGCTGACCCCAGGCTGCCTCCCTGTGCGGCCTCCAAACTCACGAGGCTCACGGCCCTGGTCCAGGCTGGAGAGCAGAGCTCGGGGTGGGGAGACGGTGGAGCCGGGGACTGCGGCGAGAGTGTGTCCGCTGACGGGCCGCCCTGTTCCAACAGCTCTTCTTACAATTCGTCCCTCAGAATCCAGTGGAGGGGTTAGCCGTGTGTGGCCACATGGCCCAGCCATCCCTCTCCTCAGTGTGCCCCCCAGAGACCTGAAGGCACATGCCCCACAAGACAGGCCCACGAACGACACAGCACAGGACCCGCCACAGCAAGAGGGAGAAGCCACCCGAAGCCCGTGCGCTGGGAGGGGCGCACAAGGTGTGTCTACCCGGCGGTCAGCACTGTTGGTTCTGTGAGGAGGGACGTGTGACAGAGGTGACCACATGAGCAGACCCCAAGCACAGGGGAGAATAGCTAGCCACAGAGGCCACAGGGCGCACGACCCAGTCCACTGAGGTGGGAGCAGATTTGTGGTCATCGGGGCTGGACGCGGGGGTGGCAGTGAATCCTAGTGGGGACAGGCTCTCTTTGGGGGGACGACTGTGTTTGGGAGCTAGACGGTGGTGATGGTTGTGCTGAGGGCCATGGAGGTGTGGTACGTCAGCTCCTGCAACATTAAGTAAGATCCAGAAATCCCACTTAGGTGTACAGACAAGAGAAGGGAAAGTGGGGTCTCAAAGAGATGTCTGCACCCCCATGTTCACATCAGCATTCCTCACGACAGCCAAAGGACGGAAGCAGCTCAAGGGTCCATCGGCAGAAGAATGGTAAAAAAAAATGTGGTCCATCCACACGGTGAAGTATCACAAGGCAGGCTATTTGGACACCTGCCACAGCATGGGTGGACCTGGAGGGCACGATGCTGAGTGAGGGCAGCCCGTCTCAGAAAGACCAACACTGTGAGATTCCACTTACACAAGGTCCCCAGAAGAGTCAGATCCATAGAGACAGAAACGGATGGGGCGGTGGGCAGTGGCACTGGGGATGGATGGAGCTCCAGTTAGGGGAGATGAGAAAGTTCTAGAAGCGGATGGTGTGGTGGTTGCACAACAATGTGAATGTATTCAATGCCCCTGAACTGACCCTGAGAAATGGTGAAGGTGGTTAATTTTATGCCCTGTGTATTTTACCACACCAATTTAAAAAAAAACCTACTGGGGAGACTGAGGCCAGGCAGGATGTGACTTCCCCACTTCCTCCTTCTAGCAGCCCATCTACACTGCTGCTAACACACGGTCAGGAGCCTGAGCTGAGTGTGAGGGTCATGGGTGTGTGACAGGGGCCAGGTGGACCTTCCTTCCTTGGTGGCCACGGCCTGACCTGCCAGCACCTCGAATGTGGAAGGACCACAGCCTCCCTCCTCCCAGGCTCTGCGTCCTTGTTGACCTGAGGGACCCATCCCTACAAGTGGGCAAGTAGGGTGGTGCCCTTGCTGACCCCAACTCTGGCTCTCCCCTGGGGCTGCAGGTATTGAGAACGAGGAGAATAGAGGCCAGGCCTGGGTAGGCTGGTGACATGGGGGCCTCTACCTCTATGTTCCCTACACCCCATATATGTAGCCATGCCCCAGGGGGTCTCATTGGGCTGAAGGCCTTTGTGATGTGAGGGTTACCAGACAGGGAAGGGGTCCAGCTAGCATCTTCAGGGGTCTAAGCCCCTTCTAGAATCAGATACAAAGCCCTCCAAACACATGTTAGAGTGAGGTCAAGTCCAGTTCACAGCCACCCCCTGACCTGTGTCCTCAACCTCAAAGCCCGACACTGTACAAACTATGACCTTGACTTAGAAAGAGAAATTGTGCCTACCTCAGACAGGGCCAGGTGCTCTGCTGGGTCCCTCGGCCAGGTATTTAACTACCAGGATTGCTGAAATGCAGAAAAGGAGGTTTCACATGGATAGAGAAGAGCCTGAAGGACCAGGCCACACAATATGCCGAGTGAGGACTAGTGTGTGGGCAGTGTGGTGACAGGCATCCTGGGACAGTCCATACAGATATGCTGACAGGTGTCCTGGGACAGTCAATAGAGATGTGCAATGACAGGCATCTTGGGGCAGTCCATGTAGATGGTAGTGACAGGTGTCCTGGGACAGTCCATGTAGATGGTGGTGACAGGCGTCCTGGGACAGTCCATGTAGATGGTAGTGACAGGCGTCCTGGGACAGTCCATGTAAATGTGTGTGACAGGCATCCTGGGACAGTCTGTGTAGATGTGCAATGATAGGCATCCTGGGACAGTCCATGTAGATGGTGGTGACAGGCGTCCTGGGACAGTCCATGTAGATGGTAGTGACAAGTATCCTGGGACAGTCCATTGGATGTATAGTGACAGGTGTCCTGGGTCAGTCCATGTAGATGGTAGTGACAGGCGTCCTGGGACAGTCCATGTAAATGTGTGTGACAGGCATCCTGGGACAGTCTGTGTAGATGTGCAATGACAGGCGTCCTGGGACAGTCCAAGTAGATGGTAGTGACAGGCGTCCTGGGACAGTCCATGCAGATGGTAGTGACAAGTATCCTGGATAGTCCATTGGATGTGTAGTGACAGGCGTCCTGGGACAGCCCAAGTAGATGGTAGTGACAGGCGTCCTGGGACAGTCCAAGTAGATGGTAGTGACAGGCATCCTGGGACAGTCCATGTAGATGGTGGTGACAGGCGTCCTGGGACAGTCCATGCAGATGGTAGTGACAAGTATCCTGGATAGTCCATTGGATGTGTAGTGACAGGAGTCCTGGGACAGCCCAAGTAGATGGTAGTGACAGGCGTCCTGGGACAGTCCATGTAGATGGTGGTGACAGGCGTCCTGGGACAGTCCATGCAGATGGTAGTGACAAGTATCCTGGATAGTCCATTGGATGTGTAGTGACAGGAGTCCTGGGACAGTCCATGTAGATGTGTAGTGACAGGTGTCCTGGGACAGTCCATGTAGATGGTAGCGACAGGCGTCCTGGGACAGTCCATAAAGATGAGCAATGATAGGCATCCTGGGGCAGGCCATGTAGATGGTGGTGACAGGCGTCCTGGGACAGTCCATGCAGATGGTAGTGACAAGTATCCTGGGATAGTCCACTGGATGTGTAGTGACAGGTGTCCTGGGACAGTCCATGTAGATGGTAGTGACAGGCGTCCTGGGCCAGTCCATAGAGATGAGCAATGACAGGCATCTTGGGGCAGTCCATGTAGATGATAGTGACAGGTGTCCTGGGACAGTCCATGTAGATGATAGTGACAGGTGTCCTGGGACAGTCCACGTAGATGGTGGTGACAGGTATCCTGGGACAGTCCATGTAGATGGTAGTGACAAGTATCCTAGGACAGTCCATTGGATGTGTAGTGACAGGTGTCCTGGGTCAGTCCATGTAGATGGTGGTGACAGGCGTCCTGGGACAGTCCATGCAGATGAGCAATGATAGGCATCCTGGGACAGTCTGTGTAGATGTGCAATGATAGGCGTCCTGGGACGTCCATGTAGATGGTGGTGACAGGCGTCCTGGGACAGTCCATGTAGATGGTGGTGACAGGCGTCCTGGGACAGTCCATGCAGATGAGCAATGATAGGCATCCTGGGACAGTCTGTGTAGATGTGCAATGATAGGCGTCCTGGGACGTCCATGTAGATGGTGGTGACAGGCGTCCTGGGACAGTCCATGTAGATGGTGGTGACAGGCGTCCTGGGACAGTCCATGCAGATGAGCAATGATAGGCATCCTGGGACAGTCTGTGTAGATGTACAATGATAGGCGTCCTGGGACGTCCATGTAGATGGTGGTGACAGGCGTCCTGGGACAGTCCATGTAGATGGTGGTGACAGGCGTCCTGGGACAGTCCATGCAGATGAGCAATGATAGGCATCCTGGGGCAGGCCATGTAGATGGTAGTGACAGGCGTCCTGGGAGAGTCCATGTAGATGGTAGTGACAGGCATCTTGGGACAGTCCATTGGATGTGTAGTGACAGGAGTCCTGGGACAGTCCATGTAGATGTGTAGTGACAGGTGTCCTGGGACAGTCCATGTAGATGGTAGTGACAGGTGTCCTGGGACAGTCCATGTAGATGGTGGTGACAGGCGTCCTGGGACAGTCCATGTAGATGGTAGTGACAAGTATCCTGGGACAGTCCATTGGATGTGTAGTGACAGGTGTCCTGGGACAGTCCATGTAGATGGTAGTGACAGGCGTCCTGGGACAGTCCATGCAGATGAGCAATGATAGGCATCCTGGGGCAGGCCATGTAGATGGTAGTGACAGGCGTCCTGGGAGAGTCCATGTAGATGGTAGTGACAGGCATCCTGGGACAGTCCATTGGATGTGTAGTGACAGGAGTCCTGGGACAGTCCATGTAGATGTGTAGTGACAGGTGTCCTGGGACAGTCCATGTAGATGTGTAGTGACAGGTGTCCTGGGACAGTCCATGTAGATGGTGGTGACAGGTGTCCTGGGACAGTCCATGTAGATGGTGGTGACAGGCGTCCTGGGACAGTCCATGTAGATGGTAATGACAAGTATCCTGGGACAGTCCATTGGATGTGTAGTGACAGGCATCCTGGGACAGTCCATGTAGATGGTGGTGACAGGCGTCCTGGGACAGTCCATGTAGATGGTAGTGACAAGTATCCTGGGACAGTCCATTGGACGTGTAGTGACAGGCATCCTGGGACAGTCCATGTAGATGGTGGTGACAGGCGTCTTGGGACAGTCCATGTAGATGGTAGTGACAAGTATCCTGGGACAGTCCATTGGACGTGTAGTGACAGGCATCCTGGGACAGTCCATGTAGATGGTAGTGACAGGTGTCCTGGGACAGTCCAAGTAGATGGTAGTGACAGGTGTCCTGGGATAGTCCAAGTAGATGGTAGTGACAGGTGTCCTGGGATAGTCCAAGTAGATGGTAGTGACAGGTGTCCTGGGACAGTCCGCATGGATGCTAATGACAAATCCCGGCAGAGTCCATGTAGATGTATTATAGTGACAGGTGTCCTGAAATGGTCCATGTAGATGTGTAGTGACAGGCATCTTGGGGACAGCCCATGTAGGTGTGTGGTGACAGGTGTCCTGGGGATAAAGTCCCATCTCTGAGTCCTCTGCTAGCCCTCTTACTGGGTGCTGACTTGGGTCTCCAGTTTGTGGGGTCCTGGCTGGGGCTGGCATATTGGGACTTGTGAGGTGGTCCCATCGAGTCTGGGGACACTTTATACACAGTTCTCAGGGGCTGCAGTGCCATTGGGCAGGAAAGGCCAGCTGGGGGCCAGATGCTGCCGTGCACTGCTGTGGCGGTCACTCTGGACACAGAGGCCAGCCCTTGGGCTCCCCATGAGTGCCCCAGAGCAACCGCTCTCTGGCTAGCCAGGTCAGAGGTCACACTTCCTTCAGGCCTGGTTTTCAGACCTGTACACATACATAATACACTCATTCACACGCTCACACACACAAGGACTCCAGGTCCACGGAGTGAGCTCCTCCCCTTCGGGCTGGACACCCCCCCCCCATGTACAGGGCCCTCCACCCTTCCTCACGAGGCAAAGACGGATGTGTAGGTGGTTGAAGTGTGCCTTTTTAGGAAAGAAGCACCCTGGGCTGCCACGTTCCCACCGGCACTCGGACTGCGGGACAGAAGCGGCCTCTGGGCTGACGCTGGGAGCTCCAGGTGAGACGCACAGGGAAGGGTGGCAGGTGCAGCTTCTCCTGGACACATACACTGTCTGGAGACTGACCAGGACTCAGCATCGCCCTGGACGCCTCCCCCAGCAGTCCAACCCTGACCCCCGCCCCGCAGAGCCCTGCGTCTGGACGCTGCCTCCCTGTGTCTCCCCATGTTCTGCCCTGGACGGCCTTCTCAAAATGCAAATCTGACCAGCCCCCGCCCCAGCCAGCCAGGCTCAGGGGGCTCCAGGGACAAAAGCCAGAGTCCTCTCTGCGTCCAGGGTCCTGCCATCTGGCTCCACAGCCAGCCTTCCCCTGCCTGGAGCCCTTCCCTCCCCCCTCTGCTGCCTGCCACTTCCGTGGGGCTGTCCCAAGCGTCACGCTGCACAGTGCCACCTCAGCCTGCCCTCATGTGCGGGTCGTCTGGGAATTCCCTGTGCCCTCTGCCCTGTCCCGTCTGACATGGCTGCCACGAGCTGGCCGACGTGGCTGGCCAGAGTTGAGATGCCCAGCATGCAAAACGCATACAGAACTTCAAAGTCTCTAAAAAAAAAAAAAAGGTCTCAACAATTTAAAAAACCAATTGCAGAGTGAAAAGACAACATTTTGGGTCCTTTCAGTTCAATAAGACATGTGACGAAAATTGCACTGTTTTCCCTTTTCTTTCTTTTTTTTTTTTAACATGGCCACAATCTAAATTGTCACACATGGCCACCTTGTGTCGTGGCCGGGTCTGCTTTGCTCGTGGGTGCTGGGCACAGCTCCGGGCCCACCAAGGCTGGTGTGAGCCAACGCTTCCTCAAAGGAGCTGCCCTAGAGCACCTCCCGCAGGATGCGGCCTCCGGGGCATCTCACATCACACGGAATAAGCCTCTAGAATAAGCCTCCGGCCTCTAACTCACATCACACGGAATAAGCAGATGAAACTCCAAACTTCCGTGAGGCACCCAGAGAGGCCACATCTTGGTGACAGGACTCTCCACACCCAATCAGACCACAGGCGGGTGGAGAGGGTCTCAGTCCAGACCCCCACCCCCACCCTGAGCCGCCACAAGAGGGCGCGCTTCCCGTGGAAAAGGCAGGAGCAAGCGGCCTCCACAGGACGCCCCAGCGGCTCCGAGGTGGCCGCCCCCGGACAGGACATGGAAGCTCAGAGGGGCGTGACCGGAGGGGGTCACACCAGATGGCCACCCCACAGCTGGGCGGCGTCCATCCTGCTCCCTGCCTGCAGACCAGAGCCCGGCGGGGCCAGCCCAGCAGCCCCTGCGAGGAGTGAGTGGCCCAGACCAGCCCCAGATGCTCGGAAGGCCACGGTCTCCAGGACGGCAGAAGGGCCACCGGCGGGACCCGTGGCTACGCCCGCCGTGGACATGCACTCTATCAGCAGCGCACATGCCTCCTCTTCTTTCCACCCCGGACACAGCCAAACGGACACGGAACGGTGCCCTCGGCCCAGGGCCGGCAGTCCTGTTCTGACTTCTCGGGCACAGGGGAGGACAGCAGGAAAGGGTCCAGGCTGGGCTGCTGAGGCTGTGCAGGGCTGCAGGGGGCGGCCGAAGGAAGAAGTGGGGGCCCGGGTTCCCAAGGACCCCAGCTGTTTGGCGACCCTGGAGGGCAGAGACACAGGGGCTCCAGAGTCAGGTGCCCTGGGTTCCCATGGGTTGGAAGCCCACCTCTGTCACCAAGTAGCCACGGAACATGACGGTCTCAGCTTCAGTGTCCCCTCCATGAAATGGAAGGGGAACAGGGCTGGTGTCCCCATATGTGGGGAAGGGGGTCAGCAGCGTGGGGCCTGGGCTGTGTGGCAGGACCAGTAAGCACCTGCACAGGCCTGCCTGGGAAGGAGAGAAACAAGGGTTCACCCTCCGCAGAGGCACCAGATCCCCACACTCACCAGCCAACCCCAGGATGGCAACGGGTACCCCCCAGAGCAGGAATGTGATAGCCACGTCCACAGGCCAGTGATCAGCAAGGACAGACCCCGTGCCCCACATACCTCGGCACCATCTGAAGGGGGAGGGGGCCCTGGGACTGCGCTTTGCATTTGAAACTGGAGACAGAGAGGGTGAGAGATTTGCTGATGCCACACAGCCACTGGGAGGGGAGCTGGGATTGCAGGCCAAGCAGTAGGACTCAGAGAAGCCAGCGTGCTGCCCATCCCTCCCACTGCCTCAGCCTGGCTTTCCCGGGCGCTCCCAGGTCAGGACCAGACAGCGAGGATGTCCTTGTGAGCCGTGTTCAGGGCCATGGAGCTCACAAAGCACCCTCCCCACCAGCCCCAGTCTCCTTCTCTCTGCCCCCCCCAAAGACTTTTCTCTGCCCCAGTAGACAGACGAATGCGCCTGTGCCTGGAATCCTCCCCAAACCTCCCTGCCACGTCCGCCAGGCTCCCAGCCTCGGGGCACCCCGGGCTCCCAGCGGTGTACAGCTGAGAGCATGTGGGTAGACAGCAGAGCAGGAAGACACATCTTCCGTATTACGGCCAAGTGCATCTTTGTTTTCCTTCCCAGTGACATCTGGCTCACCGTGAGGTCCCAGGAATTACAAAAAGCAGAAGTCTTCACTTCTGTTTTCGTGCTGCAAACAGCGTGGGTAGGAAGCATCTTCTCGCACGTCTGAGGCTCCAGCTCAGCCGTCTGCCCCACGCCCCAGGTCGAGCTGTGCGCTCATAAGTGGGAACCAGGAACCAATTATTTATCACTGTTACATCATGAGTTTCCATCCCGCATGCCAGGCCTCGGCCTGGGTCTTTCCACTGATGCTATAAGGGCGGTTTCCACTCCAGGAATGTGTCTCCAGACACCAAAGCCCTTGCTTGCATTTGTGTTCCTGGCTAAAGGCAGTCCTCCAAAGCACTTGGGGGCCGGGCCACCTCCTGCAGCCCCTGCCTTCTGCACGGTCTTATCCAAGCCCCACATGAAGGGGGTCCCAGTCTTGGGGGAACCTTGGACATAGAACCAGACCTGCTTGTTTGCCCAGAAGTCTGGGGTCATGACCCCAGGAAAGGATTTGGAGGTGTGGCTCGCCATCTCAAACAGTCCTCTCAGGCAGCCCGAGAGCTGCAAGGACAAAGGACTGTCCAGCGGGTGACTGGCTTCTGGGAACCTACAGCACGGTGCCTGCCCAGTCTGCCCGGGACGTGGTCCAGAGAAGGAGCCTTGGTCAACCCCTCTGAACGGCCCCCAGTGAGCCCTGGCCCCAAAGGCTGCACCCCAGACGGATATCCACCAATCCCGAGTTTCCAGGCTCCTCCTGCCCCTCCAGTCGCAGCGGCCCCACTCCGTCCCTCTGGATGGCCACACTGTGTGCAGTGAAGGGACGGACACCACACACACAACTCTGGAAAGCTCCAGGGGCCTGTCCACCCTCGGTCACAGAAGCAGCTCGGTGTGGCGCCTGCCTGCCTGCCTCTGGTGAGCCTCTCTGGGCCTCGGCGTCTCCGCCTGGTAAGTGGGACAGCAAGGGTGCCCACCGGCAGGCTTGTCATGAGGTTACGAGAGGAAGCATAGCCCGGCCGGGCCTGCGGGCCCCGAGTGTGGGCTTTGGGGGCTCCTGCTTCGGTACTGTTCTGCCCCTGCCCCCCACAGTGCGGGGCTTCCCCCCTGACCTGCCCAGTGGACGAGCAGCGGAAGATAAACACCTTCCGGGCCCGGTTCTGTCCAGTTCAGTGTAATCTTGGCGAGACCTCAGTCTTGCATGGACCCCCACAGGGTCCCGGACGCCCCCTCCTCCACCCCCAGGCCTGGGAGGTGACACCGGCTACGCGTCACTGTGTTTGCATCCCCTGGTCTACTAGCAGACACACAGCATCCAGTGGCTTCTAAAGGATCTCAGATGACAATGTCCCCTCCCAGCTCCTGTCCCCCCCGGGTCCCAGGGTGGGCGGAGAGGGCTGCCCCTGGGCTTCCATGACCCAGACAGGGTAGAGGTGCTCCTCCTCCCCATCCCTGAGCCCGGGGAAACTCTGACTCCAGGTGGCGCCATGCTGACGGCTGTCACCACTGTGCCCCACGTGCCTGTCCAGGTGCGGCTCTAACATCTGGGACATGAACCACTTGTCAGCGCCCAGCTCTCAGCTCCCAGTCCCCGCAGGTACGGGAGGAGCGCTGGCAGTCAGGCCAGGGACGAGGGCCGGGGCACGGGGAGGCCAGCTGACGGGGGCTGGGCAGGCGCTGTCGGCCGGAGGCGCCATGCGGGGAAGGAGCGGGGGCTCACGGGCACACGTGGGCTCCCCTCGTGGGCCTGACGGGCCTGCAGCTCTCTGGGCGTCGTGAGATTAAGTTCCAGCGCGCTTGCCGGTTGTCTTACTGACTCCGTGAGTGCTGAGGGGCAGCGCTGCCCCCGGGGGCCGCTCAGCAGGACCAGGTGCCCTCGCAGGAGAGAGTGGTGCGGGGGGCAGGACACAGCTGCCCCCCCAAATGCCAGTCCCCTCCTCGGAAGCGGCACTAATTAAGCACCTACTGCATGCCAGCTCTCTGCCATGTGTCGGGGACACGGGTCGCGCAGCCTCTTCCACGTTTGGGATTCCGAACACACGTGTATGCACACAGACATACAATGACTCAGAAAAGGAACTGGGATCCACCGACTTCAACAGCCATCCTGCACACCGTGGTGCCGTGGGAGGCTGAGGATGAATCAGACAGTCCCAGACTCAACCCACTGACGGGGCAGCAGGGGTGGGGAAGGCCAGCCGACGGCACCCTGACAGTTCCAGAAGGTGGCAGGGAAAGGCCTCGCCCAGACCCCACCCGGGGCTGGAGCCGTGGCCTGTGGTGCAGGCAGCACTGCGGGCTTGTATCTTGTGGATTAGTGGCCCCGGCTGCCGTCTGCGTCTCCAGATCCTCGCGTAGGAAGGAAAATTAATTTCCTCCAGTCATGCAGAAATGAAAATATGTGGGGCCAAATCAGAGATTTCCTGGAGGTGGTAACTCAATTACGCGGATAACCCGGTGACAGAGAAGGAGCTCCAGGCCCGAAGGGTGTGTGGGGGGGGGCAACCCCGGAGTGTCTGCGGGGAGATGTCCAGCTGAAATCCCTCAGCTCACCAGCTGTGCTGGCCTTGTGAATAGCCAGGAGCACCCGCAGGCCCGTTCCTTCTCCCCAGTCACCCGGAGACCCAGGCACTTCCAGAGAAAGCCGGATTCCACCAGAAAACTGGCCCTACCCTGATCTTCTCTTCCTCCCGCCCTGCATCTGTCTAGCTCTTGGAGAGCACGGAGCACCACATCTGTTCCTACTGCTCAAGCCTTTCTGCTTCCCTTTCCCCTTCCAGTGTTGCGGGCCGTGGGGCGGCACAGCCGCCCAGTGTGGCTCTCTGGGTACCAGCCTGCTGGCCACACAGCAGAGCCCGCTGCCTCCCCGGCCGCACCAGTCTCCTGGCTTCCCCCATCCAGAGGACACAAGGGGGGTGGGGCAAATGCCCGTCACAGCGCCAGCTCTCTGCAAACGTGCCCGGGAACTGTGGACAGGGCCCTCCTGCCCCTGCCCTTGCTGGGAGCCACCTATGCTCCTCTCAGCCCGGCCCACCCCTCCCCTCCGCGTTCCAACCCCCAAAAGTTTCTCAAACCGTGCAGCAACTTGCAAGAGCAAAGCTGGGGCACGGACTAGCTGCCCTGCTGTCTCTGGACAGCCCTGGTGCTGAGGGGCCACCCTGGGAACCTCCTGGGTCTGGGGCCAGGAGAGGAAACGCATGCCTGGGGGGCACCATGAGGCAGCATCCTGGCCACGGGCCGGATACCTGGGCCTCACTGTTCTTCAGACCACCTCACGCAGGAGGATAGGGTCTTGTCTGTTCTCAAAGGAAATATTTTTCTCCCTCGTCTCTGGAACAGGCCAACAGTCAGACAGCCAAGGTCCAAATGCGGGGAATGCAGTTATCCTTCTGGGGGCCGTGTGTCCACACTTACAGGGGTCTGCCCACCCCTCTGTGGCTGCGGGGCCCAGCGCACACACACAGTTCCCAGGGGCCGGAAGGAGGGACAGCCTGGGGCTGTGTGTTCGGAGCCTCGCAGCTCAAAGTGTGGTTTGCCACCAGCCCCGCTGCCTTCTGCTCCACGTAAGCCCGTCTAGGGCTGAATTTCCAGCCATCTGTCCCTCCACGTCGGCTCACACCTCCCTCGGAGCCGTTCCCACAGCCTGGCTCCAGGCCTGCCCAACACGCAGATGGACGGTTCCCAAAGGGTGTGAGCATAGTCGCTGCCAGAGGGCTGCGCCCCAGGCACCGCAGGCTGTTAGGACTCCAGGGAGGGTCGCTGAAGCCCCCGTCCCCACACACGCGGAGTGGGGCAGCCCCCACCTCCCGTCTCTGGGCGGACTTCACCCCAACACCGCTTAACCGCGCTGCCCAGCGACCTACCGGCCCTTGCCTGGGGGGCAGGGCTAGGGACTGAAACAAGACAGGAGGCATAGGGGGAGTTCTGCCCCTGCCCTCTCTCCTGGGGCCATTCTCTGCGCCCCCTCCCTGTCCCCTGTCCCCTGGACCGGGGCCTTTTGTCAGGAAGCTCAGGCGCCAGACGGGGAGCCTGCGGGACACCCCACCTTCCGCACGCAGTTCCCACGTTAGGTTTGACCACACCCCCGGCAGGTCAAGCTCGGCTCATGGGGGTGGGGTGGAGGGACCGAAGTGGGTGGGCACTGACTGGGCTGGCCCCACCCCGCCGCGGGCTCCAACTTCCCAAAGTGGGGAGGGGGCGCCCGGGGCGGCCCGCACGCTCGGTGCGGCTGCAACGAGACCCCCGGACTGCAGCCGCGGGCGGAGTCGGGGTGACGGCGACGGCGGCGCGCGGGACGCACGGGGCACTTACGGTCCGGAGGTCCGGGGGTGGGAGGAGACCGCACTCTGGCGCCCCGGCCCTTGAAGTGGCTTCTCCTTGGAACTCGGTCCCCGCTTCCGTAACTTGGGGGCGATCCCGCGGCTGTCGCACCGCGCGGCTCCGGGGCTCAGGCGCGCGGCGGGGCCGGGGCGCGCGGGGCGGCCGCCCGGGCCATGCCCAGGCTCGGCTCCCGCCGCTCGCTCCGCCCGCCCGCGCGGGAACAAAGCGCGCACGCCGCCCCGGGCGGTCTCCGGGCCTCCGTGGCCGCGCCGGTCCAGCCGCCGCGCCTTCGACTCGCGGGCGCCGGGCTCGGGCTGCCGCGCGCTCGCCGGAGCGTCTCACGGGGCCCCGCGGCCCCCGCCCCGCGCGCTCCGCCCCCGCCGCCTGCCCCCCGCCGCCGCCGCCGCCGCCGCGCCACCTGCCTCCCGCCCGGCGCCCATCGCGCTCGGCTCCGCCCCGGGGCGCCGGCGGCGGGCGAGGGGCCCGGGCTCGGTGCGGGGCCGGCGCGGGAGAGGGGCTCCGCCCGCCGCCGCTCAAGGCCGACAGCCGCCCCCGCCGACTCCGCCAGTGGGGCGGCCGCGGAGCCCGGGGCGCGCCCTGCGAACTCGGCCGGCGGCACGGGTGCAGTGCGAGCGGGGTGTGTATGCGGGAGCGCGGGGCGCGGTGGTGGGGGGCGGAACTAGGGGTGCCGTGGGGGGGAACGCGCGCTGCTCTGTAGGGGAAGCGGTAGTGCCCGCTGAGCGTGCGGGAGCGCGGGGTGCCTCAAGGGTAGCAGCGTGGGTGTCGTGCGGGGACGCGGGTGCTGTGCGTGGCGCGCCCCTCGCTGCGCCCGCGCCCACCCTCACCGGCTCCGCAGGCCGCGCCCTGGGCGGGCGGGTGGGGCCTGGAGCTGAGCGCGCCGCCGCGCACACCCACCTCGCAGCAGTCGGCGACCGCCGGCCTCGCAGTTTTAGGCGACGCGCGTCTGGCGTCCGGGCGGGAGGCGAGCAGCAGGCGCCCCTCCTCCGGGCGCCGCGCCCCCTCCGCCCCGCCAGCCAGCCGCGCGGGGCGGGAAGGGGCTCGGGGCCGCCTCTGCGCTCGGCCGGCAGGGGGCGCCCTCCCCCCGCCGCGCGCTCCGGGCCCCGTGCGCCCCGCGCGCCCCCTCCCCGCATTAACCCAGGCAAAAATGCTGGGGGCGCAGGGTCTCCAGTTCCCTGGCCACGCTGCCTGGGGGCATTTGCATGTGCTTTGCATTTATTTGCATATCATTCTTTTAATGTCTGCAGAAATGCCCCAAGCCGCAGCCCCAGTCTCTCTGCCCCCCCCTCTTCCCCGACTGCAGCCCTCGCCCTAGCTCCCTACCCCCAACCCATTTTGCCTCTTTCCTTAAAGTACTTTGTGGAGAATCTGATGCATTTGCCTGGTGAGTACATTGTAGTAAATCAGTGCCTTTTTCTTTCCTTCTTCCCCCAACCCACACGCACTTTATTTCTGAGACTTGCTGGGGTCCTAGGGTCAGGGTCTTGGCAGACAGAGGGCCAGAACTTGGGAAGAGCAGTGCCCTGATTTGCATCTGATTTGGCATAAATCCGCATGTGAAGGTCCAAGGTCCCTAATTCCCAAGTATAAAATGCAGCCATGTGCCAAAAAATGCGCCCTCCTCCTTGCACTAGCTTCACAGGCCTGTTTCTCCCCAACCCTCGACCTCTCCTTGACTGAGCACTGCCCCGCAGAGCTGAGCCAGGTAGAGGGAGCCCGCGGAGGCACAGAATGAGGGCTCGAGGAGAAGGGGGGCTGCCCCTGCCGCATCCCCCTGTGGCCGACCCCTGGGGCACTGTGGCGGGGTCTAGTCAGCCGGGTCACCCTTGACCTCCTGGGCCTCCGTCCTTGCAGCAGCAAGAGGGGGTGTGGTGAATGATTTAACGATAACATGGGTATCTGGCATCTCTGCTCCCCTTGTTTTCAGCATGTGCTTAAATGTGGACTCAGTCCAGTCCTGTGGAAAAGCAGAAGGTCCTGAGCCCATTTCACAGAAGAATGTGGATCTAAAGGCAGCCGGCGTGCTGCGGAAGGTCCCAGACTTCACGCGCTGGTATTTACCGGCAGCGGCTCCTTTATGTCACGGACCCTGAGACAGCATTGATTTTAAGATGCACATTCCTTTATGTGTCCCTAAGAAAGCAGAACAGCTCCCCCTTGTCATGCTAAGATGCCTCTAGAGAAGGGGCGCAGGTGGGCAGTCAGCAGACGCCCAGAAGCCAGCCTCATCCGGGCACAACACCCGCACTCACGCAGAATGCTGGCGGAAGCCTGGGCCTGGGGGGTGCTGAACCCGACTCCCTACAGACGTGTGTTAAGTTACTGACTGCAGCGTCACTGGGTGAAGCCAGGGGCTGGAAACCACTGGAGACGCAAGAGATCCCAAACCTGCGCTCTTCAGAGACCCAGCCCGAAAGGCTCCCTCCTCCTGGCCTGGGCCAACTGTGGCTGAAGGGAGGGACGGAGCCACGGAGGCAGGGCTTCTGCGTGGGGTGTAAGCAGGTCAGACGAGGACATCAGGGCCACGGTGACTGTGGACACTGCGGGGGTTCGCCAGGGGCAGGCCCTGGGCTGAGCTCTGTCTTGGCATTTTCCCAGATAATTCCCAGCCATCTGCCAGGTGGGTGCTCCCGGACCCCCGTTTTACAGGCGGAGGGACTGAGGCTCTGACAGTTTGCCTGACTTGTCCACAGCCACACGGGCCCACACGGGTGGAGGCTGGATACCCACACTACCTCTCAGCCATATGGTCTCGCTGTTGCCTCCCATGGACTGGTTTCTAACACCGGAAATGGCTTGGGCACAACTTCTGGGCACTGTGAGGTGACATTTAAGGAAAAGAATCCCATCCCTGCCCAAGAGACGCATGCAGTCTGGCCACTCACTCCCAGGAGACCAGATCATGGGCAAATCAGTGCCAAGGCAAGGCACCACACTGGAAGTGCTGGGCGGAGGGGTACAGAGCAGGGGGACAGCAGCCGGGAGAGTGGGGTGGGGATTGGGGCGTCCCTGTGCAGAGTCTGCAGAGGCAGGAGTCCAGCTCACAGAAGAGGGACCACCTCCCCTTCCTCGTGGCATTGAGCCCCCGCCCCCAAGTGAAGAGAGCGCTCCACCAGCATCTCGTTTCCCGGTGCACACCCACGGAGAGGGACCGTGCTCTGCCCAAGGGCTCACAGCGGCAACGCTGGGGCCAGCACCCCGGTTCTCTGACTTGTGCTTGGGTGCTCACTTTGGGGCCCTGTGCTTGCTGCCACTTAGGAAAACAACCTCTCACGTCCAGGCCTCTCCACCTGCCGTCCCTAGCGCTTCTGCGCAGGCTGCCCCACACTGATTTTCTCTCCACCCCACAGCCTGCAGCTCTGGGCTCTGACAAAGATACACCTGATACGTGCAGTTGACCCTTGAACAACGTGGAGGTTTGGGTCAACCCCCCCACCCCTGGTGAAGTCGAAAATCCACGTATAACATCTGACTTTCCAAAAACTTTGGTAATAGTGTACGGCTGACCAGAGCCTTACTCATCACATAAACAGTCAGTGAACACATATCCTGTATGGTTTTTTTTTTAAGATTTTACTTATTTGCGAGAGAATGAGAGACAGAGAGCATGA